TCCACAACCTCCCTGGGCAGCCTGTTCCAGTGCACTGTCACCCTTACTGTGGAGAAGTTCCTTCACATATTGGTATAGAACTTCCTATCATCTTCCTATCATAGAATCGTAGAATCATGGAATCATAGAATCATAGAATTGCAAGGTTGGAAAGGACCTACAAGATCATCTAGTTCAACTGCCCGTTTCCCCTTGTCCTGTCCCCACAGACTGCTGAAAAGAGGTTGGCCATGTTCGTTTGACTCCCACATTTAAGATATTTATAAACATTAATAAGATCCCCTCTCAGTCTTCTTTTCTTAAAGTTGAACAGACCCACATCACCCAGCCTTTCCTCATAGGGGAGAATGAGGAATGTCACATTGCTGGAAGAATACCACTTCCCTCTTTCAGACTTTTACTCTCAGGATTTCCAAAGGTATCTCTTTACATCATGTCAAAAAGAGACTGTAGTCTGTCAGCATCCATTTCATCTTTAAGGATCATAAGTGTGAGTTAGGATGGCTAATAGTGCTGCTGGCGAGTTTCACTTGAGCTAAAACCTCTACTGTCATTCAGAGGGAATGTAAATGCAAATGCTGTGCTACACAACAAGAAGTCATCTGTGACAGGTTTTTATAAGTAGCTGAAAAATATCAGATTTCATTAATTTTGTAATCTTCTATATGTGCAGGCTTTGGGAATAGATCCCTGACTAAATCAGTAGAAGAAGCTGAATAGTTCTAAGTGGATCTTACGGCATATCTTCAAGGTTGATTTTTGCCTCTTGCTCTAGCTGGAAATTCTGCTGTGCATAGAACTATAGCACCAGAAGACATGAAATATCTTTAATATAACTTCCTAGATCATTGCATTTCAAATAGCAACCTGTTTGCTGGATTTGGCTCTTCAGAACTGAGTCTGTGCTGGCCACTTTCTTCTCCTGAGGCAAGGAAGGAATGGTCTGTGGCTAGATCCTACTTCTGCACCTACACTTTGAACTCAAGTTCCTGTCATTACCACCAGAGCTCATGAGAAATCAAGGGAGGAGGACAGAATTATTCCTAATTGTGATCCAGCCATAACAACAGTGGCTGGGCCACCCAGAAATAAGCCATCCTTTTGGATAGTAGATGCTGAAAAGCAGTCCTAGAAATACTGTGGTTTGCACTTGAACACACACATGTAACACACACACACATGAACACACATACAATATTTGGAAAGAGTGAAAAAATTGCTTTGGTGATAACTAGGCAAGTTATTTGCAGTGTCCGGAGATTGTGGGGTCTGATTTTTTGCCTGAGTTTAAGTTTTTTTTTGTTTGGTTGGTTTTTGTTTGTTTGTTTTTAAGCACACAGAATAATCAGATTGGAATAGAATCTAGTGTTTCTTGAAATTTTCCCTCTGATTTATTCACACCATGACTGGAGATGAGGCTGTTTGTTTGTTTGTTTTTTTGTATATTTAGAAGAAGTTTGTGATATAGAAACAAATAAGGGGAGAAGTATCTTTTTTCACCTCAATTAATGGATGATAAAAAAGATGAAAGAGGTGAACATTTTGTAAAGGAACAAATATGAGATGATTTTCTAACTAAATATGCTTTATTTTTTCTTGGCTGATGTTCAGTACTTGTTAGTCAGAGAGGCACGCCTGAGGGAATTCATAATTACCTGTGTGACACCTTTTGGTCAGAGATTGGGCATGCCTTTCAGATTCATCAGAAGTGGCCAGGGAAGAAAGTGACTAAGGGGAGGAGATCATATTAAAAGTTTATTGGGATGATCTGTGTTCGTTGTGAGTAGAATTAAAAGTCATAAACTTACAGGATTTTCCCAAGGCTCAGAAGAAAAAAAATTGAAAAACTGGATTTCACCAGATCTCCGTGTGTGAGAGAAAATGAGCTGTCCCTGCAGTTAGTGATGAAAATAGTGAATAAAACAACAACATTATAGAAATTATCATTTCTGCAGGCATTTTCCAGCATAGGAAATTATTGTTAATGTGATACGTCTGGAAATTTCTAATTGAAAGATCTTAAAATAAAACCCAAATATCCCCTCAATGACAAAAAGTCAAAATAGACTGAGAAAGAGATTATGTATTCTTAAAGTTTCTATATATAAATATGTATACACAATCATAGAAGGACTGGACTATTAATTTGTAGTTGGTTAATTCAAATAATAAGAAAATAATGTGCTTGCTACCTTCTTAAGTTTCCATAATAAACAAATATACTTGCTCACTAGTATGTTATTACACATTTGGCATTTGTCTTGGAGTGATGTCATAAATGGATTTTTAGGTTTCTTTGCTTTGATTCGAGATGGTGTGAGTTCCACGAGCCTCATGAAAAAGTAGAAGAGAACAGTATTCAGTAACTAACATCTCAAAAAATGTTCAGTGCTTTAGTATTTTGGATTCTGGTCAGTCTTGCTTCTGTATATGCAAGAGGAACATTCCCAGTAAGGTCTTAGAAAAGTCACTAGATGCTTTTTAGCGGAGGTTTGATCTACTATGGATAAGATATGCCTCTAATGGGACAACACTGCAGTACGTGGGAATCAAGAAAGGAAGCGACTGGGCATTTTAAAACCACTAGAAGAATCTCAGAAGTTTCTGGGAGATTGATTTAGCGTTTTTAAAACTTGTATGAATTAATACTCCAGAAATTTAATGAATTTCCTTAAAGCATCCTGCGGAAGCAGTTGTCCATGTAGACACCTGTGACTGACTTGAATTCCTAAATACGGGATCATCCCAGCAGGTAACATCAAGATGTTGTCTACTTTATTGTTTTGACACAGAAAAGATGCCTGCCAGAACTTGATGAATCCTTTTACAAATACTAATACATCTTCTCAAATCCTGCTGGAACTGCATAAGCTGTTAAAACCATGTCATGTTGTTCTTTTCTTGGGAATATTAGAACTCACCTTTGTTACAGTTGGCTCCAAAGTCCTGACTTTCAAGGCGAAGTAGCAGGCTCTATTTGAAATTTCTATTTGAGGGATTGTAATGGTTTACTTAGAGCCCAGTCCTGCCAGCACTTTTGTTCATGTTTAACTTCCACACATTATGAGTAGTCATATGGGAAAGCACATGGATATGCTTTTGCCGAACTAATGCCTCCAGTTATGTAAGAAGGCATGGCTTTTTGGCCTGGAGCTGTGAGGCTGTATCTGTGAGACGAGTCAGAGACAACAACAGAGCAGCTTTTAACCAGGCATGGTTTGTCATTTGGACTCCTACGGCGTTTTGATTTAGTCAGTGCAAGAGTTTCGTTTCACAAATGAATTGGAATTATTATTATTTTAATCCCTGGACATACATTTCTGCATAAATCTCTGACATTAACTTCATATTATTTTGACCCCAGAAGAGAAAGTCCTAAAAGAGCCTTCTGTTGGAAAATAAAATAATTCTTTCAGTTCATTCCTTCTATTGTGCTCAGCTGATTCATAGCAAAAAGAGAAATTCTAAGCAAATTCTTTATGGCAAGAATCTGCTGCAGAAACCCTAGGGTACACAAGTCAGAGAAATGTTGGATGAGGCACTTTGGATGAATGCAAGAATTTTATATTTGCTAAGGAGCAGAAAATGCCAGGACCAAAGCTCCCCAAAGCCACAACCATAGTCATGCTGTAATATTGTTGGTCAGAACACTGCATCTATAGGATTTGTCTGCATTAGCAGATAAATTAGCTTCTGGCTTGTCCCTAGCTTGTAGTCTTCCAATGTAAGGGATGAGGTGGCTGGAATGGAGGCCAACATGAAGAAAAGCATGAGTACTGATGTTGTTTGCTGCAGCTTCCATGAACAAGACCTTTTCTACCTACATTTTTTAGCACTTGAAGAAAGGAGTAGCCTCAGATAATGTAAGAAATGGCATCTGAATTCTTGAAATAAGCATACTCTTTTTGGAGGTGTATCTCTTTGGATGTAGGAGAGATAAGGAAAGGTTGTCTTGTCCCTTACATTTAACCACAGGAAGTAGGACATTTCATGGGAAAAGAATATGAGCCCTCCATGCTCCTTCAGCAGGGGCAGATTTACACTCAGGCTGGAAGCTGTGAGCAAGTCGCAGGGGCTGACACAGTATGCACCTTTTTTTTCTCTGTATTTTTATGGCAAAGATTTTTAAATGATGAGGAATTTAGAGCTTTGCTGTGCAAGACTTGTCATTTCAGTGTTCTCTGAACAAAAAGAGAAATACTGAAACACAAATGTTTAAAGACAAACAATATACTGTGAATAATATTGACTGGAAATCATACTGCCTGTTTGGGGTAGGGTGATCTGCCACTGGCAGTAGTAAAAATACTGCTGTATGTTATCCTTTGAGTTTAGTTTATGATGGAAGATAATTTTTAAGAAAGTAGGATTATTTATTGATTGTGTCACAGGAATATCTGGACTATTCTAATTTCAGCAATTTTACATTTCAAGCCATATAAAGGAGAAGAAGCTATACAGTGTGTGTCCTGGTTCAGCAGAATGGTCTCTAACCAGTCTCTGTAAACAGATACTCTTCTGTCTTGTTTCTAATCACAGTAATATTTTTCAGATTAATGATGCTCTTTTAAAATACACTCAGTAAAAGCTATTTCCATGCTGCACTGTTGGATTCAGGTGTCAAAGCACTACAGAATGTTGCTCAAAGTGTTCAACAACTTCAAAGTCAAATTATTTGTAACAAGAGCAGCAAACGCCAACGCTTTTTTCACGGTGGGGGACAAAGTAACACATCCCCATTTTTCTCATCATTCAGGGTATTTAAAAAGAGTCCCCTGGGGATGCATGGGGGGTATCTTCACAGCCTTTGTGCTTTGTATGTAGGAAGATAGGTGTATTTCAGTGGAGAAAGCAGCGTCCTCATGATGTTACAATTTTGAGAAAGTGGATATGGTTCATCTGAACAGCAGCGAGACTTTCTCCCTCCCTGCCTGCACTGGGCAAATCACTCACCAGCTCCCGGCCTCCAATCACCTGGGGCTGCAGAGCCTCCACCTCCTTCACAGCAGCTCACACACCACATTTAGTTTGCTTTATCACATATTTCAGTAAAATCACATATTTAGAACTACAGAAGTTCAGGACTGGGCAAGAGAAGCAGAAAATTGTCTAGCAGAAGTTGCTCTGTATAAGGTTTGTAATGCTCAAAGAAGCAATCTGAAAACATGCTTATCATATGCTTATGATATGCTTATCATATAAAACATTGCCTGTTAACATGTGCTTTCTGAATAGCAATACCTGTGCTATTTGGTATTAAATTTAGTGTACTTTACATTGTTGTTATGTCTTTGAGTGCAAATTAGTGTCTTATATGTGATTTATGTCTTCCTTCTCAGGCTGAAATCTGTTCCTAGTTTTGGATGATAAATCTTTCATTTTCTATTTATGCATATTCTGTTACAGGTGCTGCTTCCCAATTTTTTGGGCCTTATGAATTATTTAGATAGACTACTTTAAATATTCAAAGACAATAGAAATTCTTTTATTGTTTTGGGCACAAAGTCAACTTTTATGACATCAAAAAGTTGCAGCTGCAGTAGAATCATGAATAGAATGTACACATACTTTTTGACTTTTCTTACTTTCATATTTTATTACACTGGATCTAATCAATGCAACGCTGCAATTTTGAGTAAGGTCTTGCAACAATAAATGTTGCAAACAATTTTTTCTGCTAAATTCTACAGATGGAATACAACTGGTACAGCTTACAGGTTTTTGCAGGAAACAGGCTGAAGAAAGATTCTGAATTAATCTGTGTATTTGTATTTCTGCATTTTGAGAATGTTACAAACATGCTAGGATATTTGCTTCATCGTTTATGTGCTGTTTAAAGTGTTAAACTACTGGACCTAACACTTATGTTATAGTATATAATGGGAGATTAACAATATAAATTAGAAGTAAGTTGTCTTTAAATTACTTTTGCTTAAGGAATCTTTAAATATACGTAACAGTCTAACAACTTTCAGAGGTATTATATGGCTTTATAATGCTTGTTTGTAGGAGAATGTTTACCTTTTTAATTAGAATCTTTAATGGAAATTTTTGTACAAAATATTGGTTTGCAGCAGTAGTGCAGTGGTAATTTAATCAAAAGCTTTTTTTTTTTCCATCTGAAGCTTGGATTTGATATGTACTGATTTAAATCACTTATTTAAAGTAATTAAGATGTTGCTTTTGAATGAAAGTTCAGTACAGCACACACTGACCTTATACAGCAGTTACTTTTATACTCTATTGTTATTCATCTATTTGTGTTTTGTTTTGGAGTAGAAAGCTGATAGTTTGTGTAGGCTTTACAGACTGTGAAGTATCCAGTGCAGTTTTAAAGACTAACGGAAACTTTCCAAATGGAGACTTTGCCCCTTGCACTGTGTTTGTAGATAAAAGTTTTTTTAGACCAAACTTGTGCTGCTAAGAAGAGACTAGCACCAGATGGCTGTTAAATGTTCCTGATCATCTGTCTGTCCAACTGAATTCATACCAGGTATGAATTGTAAGACTGAACTCAGCTGCTTGGGATTGCACTCAGATGAGAAGTGATAAGGTAAATTGTCTGCTTTACAAACAGGAGTTCTGTGATCAGGAAAGACTGAAATTAAGAAGCAGGTTCTGTCAGCAGCTACTGTAAAGAGAAACCAACAAGAGTGAAGGGGATAGGATAAGAATCTGTGGTTATTCAGGTACTCCAACAAGTGCTGTCTGTGTCCATGAGACGTGAAGAAGCTTTCCATTTTTTCCCCTGTGTTAGGTCTATCCAATTTCCCTTCCTGTCAAAACAAGGCCCCCCTGTCCTGTTGATCTCTTTGTTGTAATGCAGTTGAAAGGGAAAAACTGTAAGCTGTGACATGAACAGCTGTGGACTTCTTTCTAGGAATGCATTTGGGGAAGGGAGAAGCTTGAATATGGACCGAGCATTGATTTTCAAATCTCAGGCAATTGAACTGAGGCCTTCTTTTTTCAGAGGACTGTTGAAGACGTTTTCTGTGTTACAGAGTAATCTATAGCAAAAGAAAAACTTAATCCAGGAAAGGTTTCAGGAGTGCAGTGACCCAGAGTGAGCAGAGTCAGGAGCTGCCATCTCAGTTTGCTTCAAACAAAGGCATCTTGCCAAGGTCAGTGACGAATGGACTTCATAGATAATTGCTTGTGACAAATGTCTCTATAAAGCAGGCCTGGCACAGATTTGAACAGGAGAAGAAATTGACTGGATCTGCTTCTAGCCTTACTAGGTATCTTACTAGAGATAAATGCCTGTAAGCATCAAGCTGAAGGTGTGAGGAAGCCTCTGAGAAAAGTCAGAGCTGCTCAGCTTTGTGGAGACAGGCCTGAGGGACCCGGCTGGAGTTGGTGGCAGCAGGGGTAAAGAAGTTGCAGAGGCTCCAACATGTTTACAGTGCAGCAGGACTAAGGCCCTTTCTGAGCCTGGCTGCAGTGTGTGAGGTTGTCCAGGACAATGCTGCCACCAAAAGGCACTCCCAGCCATTGCCTTCTTGCTTCTTCTGTGGGTTAGTGGCTGAGCATGAGGTGTTTTTAGCTGTGGTGCTGTGGTGAGATGTGCTTGTTCAGTAGCATATGTCCTTAGGGGCCCAGGTTATTCTTCCAAAGCGGGTAATGTATATCCTTACAGGAGACACCTTAGATGAATCACTTGCCAGTGATTTCTGAAGGCACTTTGTTACCACCTGTGCCGTTCAGGCTGGTGGGGAGACCAAATAACCTCATCAGTTTTTCCTATCAAGTATGAAGTGATCTGTATTGGACTCTTCAATGTCTCATCCAAATCCAAATGAGGCCATGTCTGAGGTAGATCTCTGTGTGTGGGGCACAGCAACAGAGGTTGTGAAGTAGCAGTCAGACATTCATTTTCCATACATAAATAGTTAGGAACCAGTGTAAAGCATTCAGAATTGCAGTGGTCATCTAGGATATGTGTTTTTCAAGGCTAAGAAAGGACGGATATACCTAAAATATTATGTCTTTTGTGTGTGAAGGGTTTTTTTGTCTTTAGGAAGTTTGTGTCTTCTACCTTTTCTTTGCTCATGCTGCAATTTCAAAGAAGACTAAAGAAGAAAGGGTGGGTTGGAGTCGGAAGAGGTGTTTCACCTCGCTGATTTGTGGTCGACAAAGTTCAGAAACAAAGAGTGATAGAATTTGGAAGGGACCTCTGGAGAGGTCCTGCTCCTTCACCCCCTGCTCCTTCCACAGGAATCAGAGAAAGTAGAAGCAGAAAAAAAAACCCACAAACATATTTTTTGAAAAAGATTGCCTCTCAACAGAGAAAACCATAATGGCACCCAGCTGGCCACTGTGATAGATGACTTTACAGTCTTCAGGGTTTATTGTGAAGTGCAAAGGAATGGAGTAATCTGAGATCCATTTGAACAACGAAAGCCTTGGAAATTGTTTAATGTTCAGAGAACAAAGTCTGCCAGAATAGCTTTTCCCGTTAATGAAATATCAACAATCTATTTCAGGGGGAAAAAAGATCACTCAAAAAAAAAACAAACAACCCAAACTAAAACAGCAAAAAAACCTTGCCTGACACACCTCCTTTGCTCAGTCCTTGGACAGCCATCACCTTTCTAATGAGCATTAAATATCTGCCTGGGCTATTCAAGTCTGTTCACTGTAATTCCAACTTCCTTTCCTCTGAAAGTTGAGTGGAGACTTAATGAGTCTCTTTAAAGACTAAAGTAGCATGACAGTGTACCTGGGGGAGTTACAGGAAGAGGAGGAAAATGTTTCTGCTCAGATTTCTCTCTCCTTAATATCCAAGGGTTTTTTTTTTTCAGGCAGTCATTCGGAATGGCAGTTTTCTTGCCTCTGAATTCTTGTTCCAGGAGCAAATACTGCCATAGTAAGACATCCCTCTTGATGGAAAATCATTGCTGTTAGTGATGAGTAGAAATGCCTATTACTGATTCAGAAGACTGATACAGATATGGAGGAATATATGAGCAGAATACATTTGTGTAAATGAAAAACAGTCCCTGCACTTAGGAGGGTTGCACTAAACAAATCATGAGCACAACGTAGATAATCATGATACGGATTTCAACAAGTCTCAGGAAATCGCAGATAGCTTCACTTAATTATTACCAAACTCTTCTTACCTATCTGTTCTTGTTAGAAGCTTACCAGGGAGAGTTTTATACATCTCTTTTAAAAATAATTGGTTCTGAGAAACTTAGTAGAAAAAATGCTTTAATCTTTCAAGCAGTTTTTACCAAAGTGAATTCTAGAGGCAAAAGCCATATTATTTGAATCCAAAAGGGAATATCCTAGAAGACATTGCATTGACTGTGTCAGAATGCTGTATTTTAAAACTTTTTGTGTTTATAGTCTTGATATTGTAGTGTTACATCTTTAAAATCTGTATTCATGTTCATGTTGATTCTTATCTCGAAAATCCTAATGATGTGTGAGTTAATAGACGTCTGTTCTGGTGCTGTTTTAGAAATGATTAAGAAGAAGCCAACAACAGATAAAGAGAAGCAATTTCTTCTTTTTACTACAGCAGTATAGTAAACCAAAACTATTTCTTTTCCCCTGGAGAAATAAGTGCTAAATATAACTGAATCCCTCAGATGACTTGTGGGAGAAAAGCGCATGCTTGTTCATCGTCATAGAGGAGTGTAAATATATTCATAGGTGCGATTAAAGTTCTTCAGTTCTTCATGTAAATGCATTTATTTAGCTGTTTTGCATGGTTACGTTCTACCTGCTATGTACTGCAATAATTTATTTTGTTTCAGAGCTCTCCATCCACCATGTTGCCCTGTGGTCCAGCTTTGACCTTTGTTCGGTGCCTGGTGCGTAAGAAGAATGTCAAGGGGGAAGGTCTTGAGGACTCGTTGTGCCGATGCTTATCTACGCTGGACCTTATAGCACTGGGAGTTGGAAGTACCCTTGGTGCTGGTGTCTATGTCCTTGCTGGAGAAGTTGCCAAATCTAATTCTGGACCTAGCATTGTTGTTTCCTTCCTCATTGCTGCCCTGGCATCTGTGATGGCGGGTCTCTGCTATGCTGAGTTTGGTGCTCGTGTTCCGAAGACTGGTTCAGCATATTTGTATACTTACGTAGCTGTTGGTGAACTGTGGGCCTTTATCACTGGTTGGAATCTCATTTTATCCTATGTTATAGGTAAGCCTAAGAGCAAACATGGGAACTGAGGCTTTCTGAGAAAGCAAATATCAGAAAGGGATTTGTTTCTTTGTCTCTCTGCACTTCGCTACTCTTGCTTTTCAGTCCTACTGGATCAAATAACCAAGGTCATTTGATTAAGTTATTTCCTTCATAAATAGAGTTTTTGCAAGATGTGTCGAACAGAAGTGATAATGAACAAGAGTAAACATGATTTTACTGCTGTATTGATCAGCAAGAATAATGTCAGTAGAAAACACAGCAGAAACATTTAGCTGAGTCCGCTCCCATGGCTATAGTATTTCCCTTTAAGAAAGTCATGATGCTTAGTTCCTAACTTGTTACTATTATCTCATACTAATTAAATGTTCTGTGTTGTGATCTCATAAAACACAAAGTTGACCAGGTCTGAATAATAACAATGCTTATGTGGGAGATGTTAAAAGAGCTGCGTCAGTGCTTTGGCAAAGATGACAAATTTGATTTAAATGTGTTTTGTACAAGAAGTACAAGTTCCTCTGTATGGCGTATAAGCATACCTATCCGTATATGTCTACCTAATTACAGGACTGTTGCCCAAATCCGTTCAAAATCAATAGACCTGAATGTTGTTTTGTAGTGCATTCCTGGTAGGAAAGTGGTAAGAATAAGGTTTTATTTAGCTGTAGTCACATACATTCTTTACCAGAAGAGAGCGTTAGTCTTAAATACTAACTCTAGTAATATATATATCTTCCTAGTGTTTTTTTGCTTTACTTCCTGGTAGACAATCTTTCCTTCATGTTATTTATTAAACCATTGTTTTGTATTGTTTAACATACACAGAATATTTTGACTTTTGAAGTAAGTGTCTTCCAGAAGGACATAAAATATAAATGATATAGAAATATTTTTTGCAATATTTTGGGAACAAATTAAGTACAGATTTGTATATTTTAGTTGTAGAACAGTATGCTGTCATTTAACTAGGTGGAAATCTATGATGTTAAAATCTCTACTTAAAAGTAGCAGCATGTTTAGTTTTATTTCCTTTTCAATAGAGGTAACTGTATCTCATTGCATTCCTGCAAAACTGTAAATATGCATGTATTTTATAAAGGTACATCGAGTGTAGCAAGAGCCTGGAGTGGCACCTTTGATGAACTTCTTGGGAAACAGATTGGTCACTTCTTCAGAACCTACTTCAAAATGAATTACCCTGGTCTGGCAGAGTATCCTGACTTCTTTGCTGTATTCCTTATATTGCTCTTGTCAGGTAAAAGACAAATATCTCGTTTATGATGGTTGTAATGTCAGAGTGCTTCTTATAGTCAAAAACAAAAAAATACCAAGCTGTAATTTGTGTTATATCAGAAATGAGTAATAGTATCTGAGCAGTTTAGATCAACATTTATGCATTGGCAAAATGACTCTGGGAATTAAATTTGTATGAAAAAAAAAAAAAAATTATGCATACTCTCCTTTCCTTGAAGATGAAACATAAAATAATCACTTATTGGTAGGTGTTATAAAACCTATGATACACATTGATACAGGAAAATCTTCTGTCATATTTTTAAATTATAAGAACTGATACCAAGTATACACTTTCTGAGGCATCAGAAATTTCCAAAATACTGCAACTTTTTTGCATGTTTTCATTTGCTTTCCAAAAGTAAATGTTCTTTAAGTTAAATAAAGAAAATGCTATGTGTGTTTTAAAGTGTATAGTTTGTTTTAATCAAAGAATTTCATTTTTCAACTAAAATTGTTCACTAGAGCTTTTACACATCCCAAATATTAGTTGTGTTCAGACTCTCTTTAGATCACATAAAAGCAAGAGCTTTTCTTCTCTAGAAAGTTAAACTGATGTGTATATAAATACTTACCCTCTTATTCTGCTGCAAGTGTTTTTGGACTCATTATTGGGGAAAACATTTCTGTTGAGCTCCTGATGCTACAATGAGTGACCAGTGCATCTTTTGCTTTTAAAAGCTAAAAGGGACCTTAAGCTTTTAATAAGTCCCTGTACAGGAAAGATGAGTAGTAGAGTAACAAAGGAAACCTTAATTTGTGGTTGTACTTGTATCTTCAGTTAATTTCTTTCATCTGGTTTTTGGTTTTGTTTGACTTATGAGAAGAAAAGAATAAAAAGAAAAAAAAAAAAAAAAAAAGAAGAAATTGCTTAAGTCTCTAACTGAAAAGCATTTGAGAACTATGTTATTTAAAAGACAAAATTCATTTAGATTTAAAATGCATCTATGCTGAATTACATTGCAGTGTACGCATTCCCAAGGTGACTCAACACCCATACCTCCAGAAATTGTAGCCAAAATAACACTGATGCAGAAAACTTGAGCAGCTTCTATGATAACTTATGTGCTGTGATGAGATAGAAAGCATCTCATTAGCAGAGACAGAAATTTTTTAGACTTTATCTTGAGAGGCTTATAATTTTCTGTGTTAATCTCTAATTAATGAGGGAAAGCATGTATGTGATGTTAGTGGCAATTAGAGAAGCCAGAGAGACTTTCCCACTCTATTCAGTTTCTCCTGATCTGCTTTCTAGCTGTTATTCCATTAAAATCTTAGTATGCTCACAGTTGTTAGACAATCAGATCCTGATGAAATAACTTTCCTATCATTTAAATGGACTAGTCTGGAACTCAAGGCAAGCATATTTTGTATTATACTTTTTTAATAGAATCTTTGTAAATCAGAGATACATACGAACTGCAGGCATGCATTTATTCTAAAGGATTTGTTAATTAGCTTTTTCCATTGCATAATATAGAGATTCTAGAGATTCTAGAATCCCAGAAAAGCATTAACAATTGCTCAAGATACTTGTAAATACTTCAGGAGTACAGTGAAAGAAAGTTGCAGTTTTATGGTTTCCAATACACTCGTCTGTTGCCAGGCTGTCCGCTTACTAAATTTGTGCTAAAAGTATAAAATCTATTGCTGTTGTTTTTTTGTTTTTTTGTTTTTTTTAAATATTATTAATTATACTGACAAATATATCTTCTTGAAAATAACTTTTTTTACTGTACATGCCAGTTCATTTTTAAAAATTGGTTTTGTTTTATAGGTTTGTTATCATTTGGAGTAAAGGAATCTGCCTGGGTGAATAAAATTTTCACGGCTATTAACATCTTGGTCCTACTCTTTGTTATGATTTCTGGTTTTGTGAAAGGAGATGTTGACAACTGGAGAATAAGTGAAGAATATCTCATAAACCTTTCTGCAATAACAGAGTAATTACTCTTAAAATTATTTTTAAATTACTTTTAAAAAATGTCTCATATTCTAAGCAGTTCTGTGTTATACATGCTTTTGTACTATTGCGGGTAATCTATTAACAGATAGCTTGGTTGTTGGGAATGATAAACTTCTTATTCCCTTAGAAAGTGGTTTTATTTTTTCATTTATATTTCCCCCCCCAAAAAAAAAGTGCTGCCATATTTTAAGACTTTGATTTGTGGCAATTTGAGAAGTTATTGGCTTCTAATCCTTAAGCCACGAATTAATTGCAGTGGGTGAGTATGACAACGAGTGTTTCTTACACCATTAGAAATTTTAATGCCCTGCCACAAACAGCAAAATGGGTAAGATGATAATTATTAGATTCAAGTATGATTCCATTTGCTTTTATTTTTGTCTTACAAGTTTTCACATGGATGTGTCTTCTCATGCTGTAAAGTGCAAGGGAGAAAGATGAATATGTTTGACCTACCAGTAATAAAAAATAATGTGTTTTTCTGCTCTATTTTTATTATTTACAGGAATTTTTCATCTTACAAGAATGTGACAAGTATATATGGGAGTGGTGGCTTTATGCCATATGGTTTCACAGGAACACTGGCTGGTGCTGCAACCTGTTTTTATGCTTTTGTAGGATTTGACTGCATTGCAACAACTGGTATAGTATTTATATGTGTGTGTATGATAGCTTTTGGGGGGGGCAAAGGGACATAGTCTATCTTTTTTAGACTTTTTTTTTCTGCCCAAATCATGTTAATGGGCCACCAATTTTTAAGAGTTTTCTGATATCACTTCTAAATTATATATGGATGATATGGTTTGAGTACTTAGAATGTATAAATTACAGGAAAATAACTAGAAATTATTGTTTTTGACAATTCTAAATATAGAATATATTTTATGTCCATTAATTATACTTTTTTTTTTTTAAAGCCATTTCTGGCAACAAAAATAACTGATCTTAATTTGTGCAGATTTTAAAATTTATTCTGTAGATATGATTCTGAGGGTTTATGTTTTCAAACATATTCATTTGTCTGTCATAATATCTTGTAAAGATGAATGTACTAATAACAGTTTTTGGTGTGCGTGTTTTGTTTTGTTTTGTTTTCTTTCTTTTATTTTCAGGGGAAGAGGTCAAGAATCCTCAGAAAGCCATACCCATTGGAATTGTGGTGTCCTTGCTCGTTTGCTTCATGGCCTATTTTGGAGTTTCAGCTGCACTGACTCTTATGATGCCATATTATCTGCTAGATGAGAAAAGTCCTCTGCCAGTAGCATTTGCATATGTTGGATGGGGTCCTGCAAAATATGTTGTAGCAGTGGGATCCCTCTGTGCTTTGTCTACAAGGTAAAGACTTTGATATGCTTTGCAAAAGCTGATGGATATTACAAGACATTTAAAAATAAATTAATGGGTTTGTTTAGAAGGCTCACTTCATGAAGAGGATTAGCATTAATATTAGAAGCATGTTTTAGTCTTAAGATTTTCTTCACAATATTTTCAATAGTTAATGTTTCTGTTTAAGCTTTACTATTACTGAATTCTACCTCTTTGACTTTTTATCCAAAAATTGTTTATTAAAATAAGTATTTTTAGACACATGACCTGCAAGTTACCTCTGTTAACTGATGAAATATACTTCACTGCCTTTGTCCTGTCTTGCATGCCATTCTCAATCAATCAACAAATTTACAAACTGTGTATTTGCAGGCAAAATTGATAAGACAAATACCTAGCTTCCCTTATCATCTTCATTGCCTGTTTTTCTTCAGTAGCCAATCTATTTTCTGATATCAGTCCCTCCTGTGATTTTTGTAGGATTATTTGAGATGTAGATTCTAGCTGTGGGAATAGGGTAATTTATTTTCTGCTATAAAACTGTGAATGTAACCTGTTATTTTAATTAAGAAGATCAGGGAAAGCATACAATATATAAGCGTGTGTTCAAATATATCACAGCCTAGTTGTAATGTGCAAATACTTTCATAGAATAGAATATTGCTTAGTGCTTGAATTTAGGGATAGAAAAATGCCGATTCCAGTCTTCTACTTGAGGTTTTGTAGCTAAGGAATCATCCAAGTGAGCTTCGATGATATTAGTACGGGCTGACATTCCACAAATTAAAAAGGCATACCTGCTTAAGCAGGAATACTAACAGTACTCTGAGATAACTCTGGTGAGCATCAGCGTGATGAAGGTGGTCACACAAGGCCTAGATGATGATTTAAAGGAAGGGAATATTTTGATGTAGAAGGTGGCGGAAAAAGGAAATAGTTTCAGAATGACACAAAGGCTTATGTGGCTGACTGAAGAATATAACTTGTACAGGTCATTCTGAAATTATAGCTTTTTTCTATCTACTTGTCATACTTGGGGGTTCTACTCAAATTTTCCTTTATACTGATAAATAGCCTTATATAAGTGCAAACTAATACTGGAAAACAAAATGAACTGAGAGAGTAAAACACCATTTCAAAAATTTGAATTCCTGGTCTGTTTCCAGTGTATTTTGAAGTGTTATATTTCCTTGTTTGGAGAGGTCAATCTTTCATGTATTGATTTGTGTCAGTTTAGAGCAAATCAAAGCATATCATATATCATATTCTTCAGTTCAGAGGTATAATTAACAAAAAAAAATTCAGATCATTACTTTTAGTTCATATAGTTACTGCTAATTATGTTATGTTGTGAACTTGTATCTTTTGGGTAAAGATGTCCATTTCCATTAGTATTTCCATTATTTGTGTGAACCCACTTAAAGAGAAGTATGATTAATACGTTGTACAAAGTCAGAACAATACAAATTTAGTTGTGGATTTTAATAGTATCCTTATTTGAAGAATAAACTGTTGCCCTGATTTAGAAAACACTCATTCTCAAAAACAACATTTATACCTCAGTTAATGTGCATGAGATTATCTCACGTGCGTCTAACCTTAATGCTTGTGTCTCATGAGCATTACCAGAGGTACTTAGCATCTGTGGTATGTAAAATCTGAGCCTTCTTTAAGTGGTTTAGTTGACATCCTGAAGTACCTAAGGCAACCATTCAGCTGGTTAAATGCTAGTATGCTGCTGCAAAGGTTGTACTGGCTATGAATTTGCCTTTTGTCCTTTCAAAGTTTTTTTGTTTTCGTAATTATGATTATTTAATTTGGAGGGAAAGAAACCATCTAATGTAAGAAGCCTGTTTAAAAAGAGCTTTGAGTTATTTACTAATTGAGTTAAAGTTTAAAAGCTTTCTGTGTGCTGCTAATAACAAATCTAAAATAATTACTCTTCCCGTAAAGGAAACAATCTCAGTGAAGCTTGGCTTGAGGAGCTTTAATGGAAAGGGACAATGTGCTCAGCTGTAACTGTTGGTGCTTACTTTGAATTACTGTTAATCAGCAGCCTCACATGGAAATGCGAAGCCTAAAAGATGCTGCTAATGCCTATTGAATTGCTGCTGCTGACTGACAGACTTTTTTGAAGAATACTCAAGCTTAACTGCAGTTAGTGTGACCTGGAATATGTTCCTGGTCCACTAATACCCAAGAACTACAGTGATGACGAGTTATTTTGCTAACCCGAATTCTCTCTAATGAAGAAATTCCAATTCCTAAATTAAAAATAATCACACAAACATACAAACAAAAAAAAACGGCTATTAGCTTTATGGGAAAAAAGAAGACATTTCTATTTCTGTCTGATCTGTAGTATCTTCGGCTATGGGGCTTTCTGATTTTGTCTTATGATCATAAGATTCTGTACATGACAGTAATTAACATTGTTTACCTTTTCCATGATACAACTCTGCTGTCTTATGATCATAAGTTTATGTACATGCCATTAATTAGCATTGTTTATCTATTCCATGGTACAGCTCTGCATGAACTGTGTTTGCTATGTTGCATGTGTTCGCTTTTTCCTCAGTCTTCTTGGATCCATTTTCCCAATGCCACGTGTAATCTATGCTATGGCGAAGGATGGGTTGCTTTTCAAATGTCTAGCTCAAATCAATTCCAAAACGAGGACCCCACTAGTTGCTACTCTATCGTCTGGTGCAGTAGCAGGTGAGACTAAGAGTTGATCCTTGTAAAGAAAGGTGCACTGCTAAATGTGTTGCATATGTGGAAATTGATTTGCTTTTCACTGATCCAATGTAACTGTCACCAGGTAAAGTAGGCTACTAGTGAAACTTTTCTTTACCACAGATTTTGTATTTGTTTGCTAATCTCAAGAGCTTTCAAAGCTTAGGTTCAAAATAATCGACAAAGCATAGAACAACACTTATCAATCAAACAGAAAACCGAGAGCAGCAACACAGAGCCTAAACCAAAACTGAAGCAGAACCCATTAACTCTTCCAAGCATTCTTTTCATGTAGTTGGGTTTACCAGTAAAGCACTGTGCTTTTAATAACCTGTATTTGAACTATACATTTTTCTGTTCTAGTCTTCTCGGCTCTATGTTCCCTTTGCCCCGAATTCTGTTTGCCATGGCACGCGATGGTTTACTCTTTAGTTTTCTTGCCAAAGTGAGTAAGAGGCAGGCACCAGTTTTTGCCACCTTGACAGCAGGGGTCATCTCTGGTAAGCTCTCAAAGCCCATATTTCTTAAAACTGAGATTTGAACACTCTGTGCACGTGCATGGTAATTCGTATTTTTGAAAAAGGGCTGCTTGTTAACTTCCCATGCATGTAAGATGGGAATTAAATCAAAGGGTGTAAGAACTCTAAATCATACCAATCCTGATGGTGGTAGTGTCTTTAATGTCACAGAATTCAAAGTTTTTTTTTTATTTATTTGTTTTTAAATATTAACTTCTTGTACTGTGAATAAGCTTCTTACTTGATCTGAGTCCCTTAGGCTCTCCTCTCCTCATAGGGTTTTCTTGTCCAATGAACATAGATATATGTACCACATCTGTAATGGGGAAAGCAGTTATCAAGTTTTTTGTTATGAGACATGAGAAAAAAAATCTGTATTTGCAGTGGGATCAGCTTTTGTGTGAAATGCATACACAGATTTTATTTTCACCGTCTTCTAAAGAAAACCAGTTCTATTTTGGTACAAGCTTACCAAGTTAGAGTTGAAGGGTATGTGTTTTTCTGTGTGCTCGGGAAGTTATGTGTTTATGCATATATATATATATATATATATATATATGTATACACACCCATATACGTTTTAGCAAAACAGCATTTTGGGAGCTGCTGCCAACAGCCAACTGCTATATTAGTTTTAGAAAGAGAAATTTTTAACACATAGCTGTTTCATTTTTGTCTATACTTCCTGAAGTGGCACTGCCCAAGTTTCATTGTGTTATTTTGGAGGGATGTCTGATTATCTAAGAAACTGGAAGCACTGGATGTATTTACCTTCAAGGCAAATAAATGCCTTAAAACAAAAATATTAAAGACATGGCTTATAACAATTTAGCAACCTGGTTAACATTGATTTAAAGTGAGTTCAGAACTAAGACTAAAACATTCTGTTTTGACTTTTAATTTATGTTACTGACTTTTTCCTCTATAATAATTTGGTAGTGCAGTTATGTGGGAAAGAAAGAAAGAAAGCCATGTTACCTAATGCATAAACTAATTGGTACAGCTGTACAGCCTTGACTAGCTGTGCAACAGCAGCAACGTGGACTTGCTTTTAGACATTGTGGGGAATTTGGTGTATGAATAATTTATCTGAAGACAGCTTAATCAATTAAAAAAAAAAAAAAAAGCGTATTTGATAACTTGTGGTCATAAATGGTTTTGCCAGGGTAGTTAAAAATAAGTGCAACAGGTCATATTATCTGATTTTCCTCTTAAATCCTAGCATGGATTGTTTGTATCCTAGTATCCTTGTATCCTAGTAGAATAGCTTTAAGAAATGTTAACCTTTATCCTGCTAGCCTGTTAGGTGCTTGGCCCCAGTTAAAGTTACCGGCTCATGACTACAGCTGAGTCAGTTGTCACATGCTGTTACTGTGACTTACTTTTTTACATATCCTAACCATGATTCTGAAACTGCACATTGAAAAATATTTAGCTGCCCATTTACAGTTCTTAAGTGTAAATTTGCCTGCCATCATTACATAGAACTTGAGTAGAATTAAGAGAGGTGAAAAAGCTTTTTTTTTATTCTCTTAATCAGAAACTTACAAGAATTTTTCAGTTTGATCTAGTGTATAAGAAAACAACCTTGGCTACAAAGTAGCCTTTTGAATCTAGAACTTAAAATTAAACATAGCTACTTTATATTTGGTTATTGCAGGTTCTGTTCTTTCTCAGCTTTGCTTACCTACACATTTTGAGAATTTAAAGCCGTGAGATATTCAGAAATTTGCCACACATAAGAAGTTATGACTTCTTACAATAAATGACTTCTTGGATTTATGAACATCCACCCTCTCTTAAGAAGACAGGATGATTTTCCTTCCTCCATTGGAAGAGGACACTAGCAGATGAAATAGAACTTCCATAACACAGCAATTGTGCTTTTTGAAGTCATGTTTTTGTCAGAATCCAAAAAGAGGGGAATGTGTGTTTCTGTGTTTTTTTGTGCACCGATACACCTGTCTACACATATATTAAAAGTATTTCTAAAGTAGATATTATATATAAGCCTTTCTGAATATAGAAAAGTTTGTGTATGCATGCACGTGCAGTAATATAAAGGCTACATTTTATTTTTTTATTTTAAGATTAGTGATGATTAAAAAGATAAAATATTTAGATTATTTATATATCTCAATAGAGTGAGTCAAATGCAAATACTTTAAGAATTTTTGACCGTGTATCAATTAATGCTAGCCTTTCACTTAGTCTCACTTGGTTTCAATTAATTGTGCTAATTTCTCTAATGAGTTCTCTGTGTGCAAACAGCATAGACACAAAAGAATCTCCAGATGAAGGTGACATTAGTTTTTATAGACGAAATGTCTGCCATAATTACTCAGAGTACCATGGAAATTTCTATTTCAGTGATCTTATGAATATTATTCCATGTGAGATTTTGCTGTCTTTTTTGAAGGCCACTTGAAGGTTTTAGTAAGATAATTAAAAAAAAAAAAAAAAAAAAAAAACACACAAAAAAAAAGAAAACGCAAAAAAAACCCCATCTGTTTTCTTACAGACAACTTCATAAATTTATATGGAGATTATTTTGAAATCAGTGGAAATTTTACATACTTACTGGGTCACATCATTGTTCCTCTGTTTTGTAGTGGGAGCCATCTCTTAACTCTTATGAGATTCTTTCACAGCATCAGAATCTTTTCTACAAAGATGTATTTTATTGTGGCCCCTGTTCAGCAAGCCACATATGCAAGTACTTCTGTCCAAATAAATCCAATACAAATTGCTCGATTATGCAGCATGACTGTATGGCCCAGCAGTGTGCTTATCTATCTGAATGAGATTCCCAACTGTAGGAAATTAGGTTTAGGTATGTTGTCTATGACTTCAGATGTGTTTTTAAGGATTACTATGATTTCACTCATATTGTTCTCAGTAGAACAATTTGAAGTTACACTGGTGACGGACTTTAAAATCTTGACTTAGTATGTAAGCCTCATACAAATTTTGCATTTTATTTTCTTTTCTTTTCTAGCTATTATGGCATTTCTGTTCGACCTAAAGGCTTTAGTGGACATAATGTCTATTGGCACACTTCTTGCTTATTCACTTGTGGCAACCTGTGTCCTCATTCTTAGGTGAGTCAAACACAACTTTTCTGTTTTACTGTGGTTTACACTGTGTTGTTCACTACCTGAACAGGAGTCACTCCTACAGTGGATGTTTTTTTGCTTTATAACTAAACATTTGAGAGCTATCTGTATGCATATAAATAACTGCTGAGAAGCATTTACCTGTCAAATAAAACACTGATATATTGTTATATCAGTATAGCAGTTAGTCACATCAAAACTTCATGTGAAATCTAGACACCTTTTCTTTTCCAGGAGATAATATTTTGATACAAATACAATCCATGCTGTACCTTGGGCCTATCACATTGTGGTGACTGTATGTGAAAGATGGAGGTGCTAAACTAATCACTTTGTGATGTCCAGTCAGTAATCAGTAAGACCGGAAAAGCTTTTCAAGATCTGGTAGCCCAGAAGACAGTACAAATACAAGCTCTCATCAGTTGAGATAATAATTAATTGTCAGTAGAACTATGTTATGTCTTCTGTTTGTAAAACAGTTTAATGATTTCAATATCTTGAGAGCTGTAGGTCATTTCTATATTTATTCTGTTCTTTTTAATTTAAAAAGCCAATCTTTATTACTTATACAAGGCTAATAGCCTTGTATACTATAGCCTTGAAAACTATATAGCTTGAATTCATTCAATATTTCAATACTTTCCACTTAAGAGAAGACTATTTTATCCCACACTGACTTATCTATAATATGTATTTTTAAAAATACACTTACATTCTAACAAGAGATGTAAAATTTCAGTTTATACCAGTTAATAGACCCCTTACATGAAGCAAAGCAGAATGAACTGCCACTGCAGATAATTCCTTAACCTTTCCCTGCTGCTGACCATCAGATCTCCACATTTGTGCAAGACTGGTAATTTATCTGACCCACTGGTGCATTTATATAGCTTAAAAAACTACTGACAAACAAACAAACATGGCAAAAAAGTTGCCATAATTTGTTTATATAAGATAGTGACTAATCATATGCTCTCACATATTGGGTAATTCTCAATCTCTACTGCAAAGCACTTAGTATTTAAATGTATTCCTAGAGGCATATTCTTTCAATTCCCAGAGTAAACCTCATTATTACACCACTTGTTTTTTTTGCACAGGTACCAACCCAGTTTAACCTATGAGCAACCCAAATATTCTCCAGAAAAAATAGCCTTGGCTGCATCAGAAAGAGAATCTGCTGTAAGTGAGTCACGGATAAATATGATACAGGAGAGTCACTTCAGTCTTCAGACTCTGATTAATCCATCCAGTTTACCTACAGAACAGACTGCAACTACTGTTAACTGTTTAGTGGGTCTGTTAGGTAAGTAATATACAACATTAATGTAAGTAATGGAATTTTATTACAGACAAAATTAAACATTCAGTAATAATATACCTTTCCTCAGTCATCATTAATGCACCATTCTGGATAATGCTCTTATATTTCATGATGGAATTAATCTGCAGTCTTGTGTATTTTCCATTACTTGATCATTTTCATAGCATTTCATACTGATGTTCCACTATCATTCTTCTTAAAAGTCACCTCCTCTTCAATGCTATTTCCATCATTTTGTTTTTCACACAGCTTTCTTGGTTTGTGGCTTGAGTGCTCTCGCTACATATGGGATTCATTTCATTGCTAACTTGGAGCCCTGGAGTACTGGCCTTCTTGCTGCATTGGTGGTGTTCTTCATAATTACCATTCTCCTCATCCAAAGGCAGCCTCAGAACCAGCAGAAAGTGGCCTTTATGGTGAATAAAATAATAGCTCTAATGGGAGGTTTGGATATATTCTAGGAAGTGGGAGAGGGGCAGAGGGAGAGAGAGAGAGAGAGCCTTTTTTCAGGTAGTCTTTCATTACTGCACTGCTATTATCACAGTTTGGGTTTTGTTGTGACTACAAGGGTAGTGGATGCTCATAGCATCAATGCTCAATCAAGTATAGATCTTATCCAGATCTCAGATCTAGGGAAAGGATTTTGCTGCCCACAGGTTGAATGTGTGATGCATATATAATTGTGGCCATACAAAAAGGGCATATCTGTTGTGTTGCTGTTACAACTAGTGGGTCTGACAATACAGATTTCTAGCTTTTCTTTCAGACACATGCTTGGAGTGCACACTGTTAAGGCACAAGCAATTTTAGTGCTCAGTTTGAACACTTAGACACTAGAAAACAATTCAGAAACTGACTAGTGTATAGTCAGATTATCTGCATTGTCTGCAGTGATTTGGAACACAGTGCAATTCATACCTCCCTGAAGTATGGCCTTTCATTTTGAGCTTTCACTTGTGTTCTAAGGTCAGTTAGTTAAGGAACTACATAGTGGAAACAGTGAATCACGGTGATGAAAATAAAAGAATTTGATGGAAATAAGGAGTCAATTTGGAAAAAAAGGGATACATCTATAAAGATGGAAATTATACTTTTCAGCTCTACGTTCAGGACTTCATTAGTATGCGTTGAAAGATTGTCTTCACAGCTTTAGAGAACATATCTTAAACATAAATTACTTTAAATGTTTAAGATATGTAGAAATTCGTCATTAAATACTGAAAAAGAAAATTTTAATATACTTCAGTAAGAAAATGTTGCAATTCTTTTTTAGTGAGATTTGTCACCCCTAGCTCATGTTGTATAACTCAAGTATGACATAAGTAGTTGATATATGCAAGAAATGATATTTAATATTATGAATATTTTAAATATTTCCCTCTAGGTTCCATTATTGCCATTTTTACCATCACTCAGCATCCTGGTAAATATTTATCTAATGGTACAATTAAGTGCAGACACTTGGATCAGGTTTAGCATCTGGATGGCACTTGGTAAGTACATCTGCTCATTTAAATCTCCTCCTTTGTTAGGACTGATGAATCCTGTCTTAGATAATTCAATACTTTGCCTTTAAACATTGGAACAAAAGTCTGTTTTAGTAAAATCGTCTAGTATTTCTAGTTAAAAAAGTAAATCACGCTTTAGAAGGGATATGTATACATAACCAAAACTGTAAAAATAGTTTTGAGGTAATAGGAAGAATCAAAGTTATAGAACTAATTCCAGTAAGTTACCATACTTTTATTTCTTGTCTACTTAGCTAAATGTGTGCTGAAATCTTTTTTGTAACAGTTTTCTTTTTGCTATATCAGACATTCTCCTTTAAGATATGGAAAAGTGCACTGATTTTATGTAGTCATAAATTAGAGATACTAGTTTCCATGACTTGGCCTAGGGAGCCTGCTTTGGCGGGGGTCGGACTCGATGATCTTTAGAGGTCCCTTCCAACCCCTATAATTCTGTGATTCTGTTAGAACAACCAGTTATGCAAAAATGATGCACTGAAATTTAGCACTTCCATTTCCTGTACAAAGAGGGAAGACCTGAAGGTTGAGCTATCATTTTAATACCTGGCTTTGGAAAATTTGCTCAGCCAGACAGTAAAAAATAATGACTTTTTGATGCATTACTTGCCTAAAAACCTTATTAACCTTTTTTTTTTTTTTCCTTCTTTTTTTCCCTTTTCCTTTTGAAAGGCTTCATTATTTATTTTACTTATGGCATCAGGCACAGTCTTGAAGGTCATCACAGTGATGGAGATGAAGATTCGTGTTCGGAAAATAGTGGGTTGCAAGAAAAGAACCCTGTGGAAGAAATGGATGAACCTGAAAGTGCAAATGAAAGCGATAAATTTCTTGCACGTGAAAGGACAAGTGAATGTTAATTTATGTAAACAATCAAGTCTTTTAAACCTTTAATTGATATTTTACTTGTGGACTGAAATTTCAAAAGCTTTCTGCCAACATTGTTCCTCTTGAAAGTGTTTACTACAAGGCCTGACTGATGCTTTGGACAAGCTGCTAATCCATCTTCATCATTTCAGAACTGACAGCATGGAAGTTAATATTTAAATGAAACAAACAAACAAGAGAAGTACTCTTTTGCAAGCAGAAATCTGGATGTATTGTTTGAACTGATGTACAAAGTTGCTGGCAATTACAAAATATGAAGAATACTTGCAAGAAGTTCAGAATATTTTACACTGCATTGTGAACACAGTGCCTTTTACATGTCCTCCTTATTTCTGTTACATGGTCTGGTGTCCCAAATAACAGTGCAACTAAATCAGTAGTAAAATACCAGGTACTATTTTTTGTTGCTACAGAAATCTCATGGGAGAAAAATTGAAGATACCCTGGAAAATATTTCCGAAACAAATGATAAATTGACAGACCTGATGCTTTGCAAAAAGTAGAAGATCGTGAATTTATATAAAAATGATAAAGAAAGAATTGCTTACCCTTACTAATTAGTAGCCATTAAGAACTGAAATAGAGAAGATCCTTTAAAGGCTTTATTTCCCTCTAAATGCTGTTCAGGATTTTCACTTCTGTCTTACATGAATTCTTTTCACTTCAGAGATGCTCTTTATATAAAATAATACTTCCAAGAGGGATTTTGTTGTTTTCTGCAAAAACTTCTCTTCAGAAAAATTATGCCCCAAATCCCTACCTTCTTTTCAGATAGAAGGGGAGCTGAAAAAAAACACCAAACCCAGGCTTTGGAAGGAATGCTTTTCAAAGTAGTATTTCAGTACTTCACCAAGTCATAAAAATATGTTAGCACAACAATTTTTTGTGAACCAAATCTAAACCTACAAATCCATTCATGTGAGTAGGCTGTCTAAATGCTAACTTATGTATGTAAAGAACCAAATAACTGCAATAGTGTTGTGTGAACCATTGTTTTAAAGATAGTGAAAATGGACACTGTTCTTTCAACATAAAAGTCACATTACTTAAGAAGGGCACCCAGACATTTTAACAGTTTTTCTCAGCGTATAATAGTCTTCAATCCCTTGAAGGATTCCACAATAGGAAATTATTTTGCAAGAAGTCACTTATAAAAATAACTTCCCTAAAGTACAAGAGAATTGTTTTGTACTTTTGTACTTTGTCATGGAAAGTTTTAATCTGAAGCATAATATTGCCAGTAATAATCATTGGTATTAATCTCCATTGTTAGCTACAAAACATTTTATATCCTGTCAGAATGATGTTGGTTGACGGTGAAAAGCACCTTTTTATAATAGCTGGAATTGAAAAAAAAAAAAAAAAAAAAAAAAAAACCTAGAAAAGAAAAAAAGAAGAAAAAAAGCAGACCAGTTAAGCTTCTTGTGTCTCTCTGTCTTTTTCACAGTGATAGATTCTTGCTTTTTAAACTGAAAATGAGTTTTGTTGTTGTAAGCCTAAACGTAGAAGGCAGAAAGAAGAGTGCTTCTTGATAGAGAATCTTGGAATGTGCTGATACCCCATGGAAGAATGAGTTTGTAGTTTAAAGCCTGATGCCTTTCTTCCCAGTTTAAACTGGGGGGAGAGCATTTTTTGCAGCACAGGTGATTTGGCAGGGATTTGTACTAGTTGCACTAGTGGCCTCTGCTGGCTGCTCAGCTCAAGGAGCAGCAATCTGAAAAGATCTTCACCACTATTTGTCTTCTGTGGCATATTCCTGGTTTTATAGCAATCCAGAGGAAATCACCAGAAAAGATTTGCTAGAAGACCAAAGCAGAGCACTTGTAGGTGCCTGTGTTTTTCTTTCAAAGTACAGGATAATGAGTACACAACAGGAAAACCACCTACCTTTTAACTGATGTTCCAGCATGTGCAGCTGTTGTCCTAAGGACCATTGTTCTAAAGTCTGGTGGTCCCTAAAAATGGATGAAACAGAGGATGAAGAGAAACTGTAGAGTAAGTGACAATGCAGTCCTGTTTCTTAATGTATCATACTCCATCCTAATACTGATAAGTTATAGCCACTTCTTTGCACAGTTTGTTTTACAAGATGTTGTTAAAGAAACACTAAAATGTCCTAGTAGAGTAATACAAGTAAATTATAGTCTATGTAAAATGTTCTGTTGAAAGAACTAGATAGTAATCTTCAGTGCTTAGAACAGTGCTTAGAGCAATTGATAAGTTTCAGAACCCTTCTTCAATGAAAGGAAGAGCCGTCTGTGTCGGTTGGATCTGCCATTGGAATTGTATTTCTCAACTGGGGCCCATTGTTACGAAAAAGTGACAAAAGAACTATGTGTTCTTGTTTAAAACAGAAGACATTTATGACTTTCTAGGCTCCAGTGAGGTAATGAAACAAATGTTTTATTAAAAAAAGATGAAAGAATGTTTTCGATACCATTGGTGTTTGAAGTAGAAATACTGATGCTTTTCCTGATTTGTAACTACTCTGTCAAGAGCACAACTTCTTCAGTGGCTATTTTTTACAGGGCATCCTTATCCGTCCTTCCCAGTTGCAATTTTGTCCTGCTGTTAGGACAAGCCTGCAGTGCTCAGTTGAACCTTTTGCACAGTATTTTTACAAGCCTACAATGGAAGACAGCTCTTTTAAATTCTTTACACATCTTGGTGTGTGGGAAGCAGAGACTTTTTTCTAAAGATGCTGGTGCCACAGAGCAGGCAAGTCAGGCTCCTGGGTTGCAAACTGTGGCTGTTCTGTGATGTGCAAGGAAGATCCCATTCCCTCCCAGCACCATCATATAGAACGAATGTGTGCCTGCCTGTCTATATGCTTGCATCGATCTGACATTAGCCCATAGTGATTTTGATGTACTGATTAGAGTAATTTCTATATTGCACTGGAATTTTCTTTGAAGGGATACTGTCAATGTAAGGAACTTATGACTAAAGTCAGCACTAGCTAAGGCTTTTGGAGATAAACGAGAGAAATTTTTCAGCGTATATATATTTTGTACATAGTGTTTTTCCCCTCATTACTGTATTATTAGTCCCCCATAGTTACAGTAGTTAATTATATGAAAATAATGTGATTGTTACAAATGCTGTGAGGAAGACTGGGAGCAGCTGCAGCAGAGGAACTATCCAGTTAACTAACGAGATATAAAACAAAGGAAAATCATTGGCTATTCTCAGTTGCTTTGACTGCACAAGGCTTTTTTATATGAGTGTATAGTTAATGCCATTAATAATCCATGGCTAAGAACACTGTAAGCCAGAAGTGAGATATTCATGCTAATTTTGATGTGCATTTGTATGTGTAATCTTGAAATTCCAGATGCTTTTCTGGGATGTTAGTGGAGCAGGCCCTGTGAAGGACAGCCATGCTGCTTCTTATGCAGGGAGCATGTGTGAAACAAAGCCCAATTTTGTTCTCGTGTTTGCTATATTTGCCAAGAGAGCAGCTGAAAGCACAAGTCCATTGGAACTAAATTGTTATTTTTTAACATACTCATAGTTGTTGGTACTGTAAATTCTTCTGTGCAGATAATGATGGTATGTATTAATATATATATATTAATGGAGGTAGCTTTTTTTGCTTTATGGAAATAAATCCTTGAAAAACTATATTTGCATTGGTACACTTGGGATGTGCCTTTAGATATAGGAATTATTTTTATCAGATTTAGGAAAATAAATCAAGGTATATTTAAGAGAGAACAAGTAAATCTTTGTTCTCCCATAAGGAGGCATAACAGTTATAAAACATTTCTGCATAATTCACATTACCTATGGTGACCTTTATGCAGTATTCCAAATTCTAGTCCTAATTTTGCAAAAGGAAATGTTATGAGGTATCTTAGATTTCATTGTCTGTTATCCGGGACAAAACTATTCTGTTAATAACAGCACAACAAATACGAGCTAGATTCCCAAAACCTGTCACACTGTGTTTAGGTCACCTTGTATTAAGGCCGTGTATACTGCCTACTGTCAGAGAATAAAGATCAGTACTAGCAGTACAGGGTTACTTATCTATATTCTTATGAACTTGAATATGCCATGCAGAAACTTCAAATGGTACAATTAATTTAGAAACAAAATATGGTAAAGCTTTATATATATATATATATATATATATATATATATATATATATGTATTTCTGTATTTTATTAGATGATGAATGTAAAATTCTAGCCGCCTTTTTCCCAAAGTTTATGGAAGGATATACAACTATTTTAGAAATAAAATGCATACTATTTTCATGGAGATTTTTAATAAGTGCCAAGATCAGATGTCCTGCAAGCATCCCAGCTTGGGTGAGATCCTGACAGTGCAGGAAATCTTCATGGGACTGTGCAATCATTAATTGTCAGATGCCTTTGACATTGGGGTGCATTCTGAACAGTACAAATTTAATTCACATGATGTCTAGCAAGTGCTACTTGGTTATGTAAAAACAAATTAAAAGCACATTTTATCGTAAGGCCCTGGTTCTTCCCAGGCCTGCCAGGAGGTTGTACAAATTGCAGTATGCTCACTGAAAGCTCTGGGATTACTCACTGTTAAGCAGAAGCAGCAAGTGGTACTCCATATAATGTAAGATTTTGTATTTGTTTTTAATTTCCTGTACCTTTAATAGTTCTTTCTGGTATATATTTTAAGGACCTCTGCATTTTTCATAGTTGGACCTTTCCAAAGCAAAATGTAGTGTCCTCACCACATCTTGATCTGTTTTCTACTTGATTTTAGAGATTGGGTTCTCCAGCATCAGCTAAGCCAAAGGATTTCTGTGCCTAGACATGCATTACAAAGAGCTATGTGTATATATAATTGTCATTTCTATTATCAGTTGGACAAATTCTGTTGTCTTTGTATGTTTCCATTGAGTCTTGCACGAGGCAAACTCCACCCTCAGCAACATAAGTTTAGCTGCAGTCAGGATTTGAAAGTTTAGGAGGGCTTTTTTTCTTTTGTATTAACAGAAAGCAAAGCACGAAATATGCATTATGTATCTTTAAGAATAGTTATGTGTGCTTCATTTTAAGAAATGTTAGTTTATATGTTTTAACTTCTTGTTCACATGTAAGCTGTAATGATTACATCTGTGATGTGCTGCTGAGCATTTGAAACGTCGGTAGAATGACTGCGATGCATCTTAAAATACAAGTTTCTGTTTGAGTACTCTAGCCAAAATGAAAGTTCTTGAACTTTTGTGAATGTCAAAGTGCATATATTTAAGAACATGGTGCTTGTTTATTCACTTTTTCAATAAGAATTATAATCAGCAGTATTTTTAGTTACCTTAGTTTCAAATCTGATGGAAATGATATTGCTTTTCATATACTGTAAGATATGCTTCACAGGATAACAACTGTGCATTTGTTCTGTATTTTTTTTAAAATAAAGCTGAATATCACTTGTACATACTTCATACAACACCTCTGACTTGAATCACCACTGTAGTTCTAGTAGATACTAAATACTAAACTAAATACAGTGACTTAATAATATTTGTGTCATCTCATGTCATGACATGATACAAATCAGAACTCACAATAAATAGTGTGATAGCTCATATAGTTTTTATGGAAGGGGGAAAAAAAAAATTGACGATCATGTTGTATGTTTAAAACCTTTATTTTTTCCAGTGGTCTGAAGATGTGCATTATAGTAGTTTCCTATTCACTTCCTACAATGATTTAGGTGCTGTATAATCAATGAACATACAGATGTTATAATTATGAGATATACCAGAGAGTTTGGCTAAGCAGGTTATTACACCAAAATAAATAGGTAAGTAGGTAGGTAGATCACTTACCCTTGTCCTGGGCTTGCTGTAAAACTCCAAAGGAAGAATCTCCAGAAGGAGATCCTTCCCTAAAGCCTGGTAGTCAGCTAGTTCTTAAATGAGTCTAGGAGAGGTGGAGCCAGGCTCCACTCCTTCCGGCAGCACAGGTGAATTGCCTTCACCTGTGCTCCCAGCCTGACTCATTGCTTGCCTCAGGTGATTAATCAGAAGTTCAGGCTGTGATTCAGCAGTTCCCATACTGGCGCTGTGACTGTTCCCATATAGGCAGTGCTAAACCAGAGATGATGCTGGGCTTGATTTCCAGAGGGAGTGAGCCCTCAGTTTCCTTCAGCACCAAGCCTTGTCGTGGAAGCAACCAGACTCAAAGCTGCACGAATGTTACCTCTCTTTTCCCTTTTTGGAGGAAAAAACCCAACCAAACAAAAAACTTGGGAGTTCTGTCATCTAGTGCTGTGTCCTGAGGATTGAAATGACTGAAAACTAACTAGCATTTGAAAGATTGTCACCTAGGATACCTACTTACATACGTAACGTAGGAATACTGAATCTGGGCAATAGATAACGATAGCCTTGAGATACAGAACTGCACTCCCAGCATGAAGTTGCTC